AAAAGGTAAACGCCAAGTGGTACCTACCCTAATTTCTCTCTTTTGTTAGTTATATGATCATCTTTTTCTTCTTCATCTCGGTGTGTTTGTAATGTAACTTTAAGACTCATGTATGCTCTTTGATTTCCTATTAACTGTTTTTCTGTGTCCAATTTTGTGCGTTTGTCCCATCTGTTGGTGTGGCAGCAATGAAAGAGGAGATTTTGGTTTTGCCTTTGTTTTATTTTGATATCAGTTGGTACTTGGGATCTTTGTGCCTCTTCCGGCAGGGAAGAAAGGCAATTGGTTTGTAAGTGGATTTGTTTTCAGACCGTTAAAGTGGAAGGTTCCTGATGGGTTACTCTGTATTGCTTCGTCTCAAAGCTCCAATTTAGTTGGCAAAGGGACTAATCTCTCAGATCTATGGCTTTGGATTATTCTGTATACTTTTTTTTACTCCTGTTGGCCTTTTAAAGAAGGGTGGTTGTATTCTGTTCGTTTATTTAATTTCATTACAGCTACTTTTGACTGGGCCCTTTGCTATCAGCTGGGACGTGGTGTAAGAATGCGGCTATTCTTTCGATGGGGATCATTCAGGGAGTGAGTTTTATCATAGGAGCACGCACCAAGCTTTGTTGCTCAGGGGGAGTCCGGGTAAAGTGTGTAAACTTCGAAAAATCTCTTTATGGCGCCCTGAAACAGAGTCCTCGAGCTTTGGTTTGGGTAGATTTTGGCAATTGTTTGGTACAATCAATTTGAGCCATGCAGTATATTGAGAGTACATTCTTGATCATTCTGTATGGTTTTCTTAGAAGAACTAAGACTTTGTTTTTGATTGGGCTAACGGTTTTTGTGTGGTTATTAATTTATTTTATTTGACATTATTGTTTTATTTTTAGCAGTTGGGGGAAGTGGATTCAGTTCCGGGTTCATTTTTAACATTTTTGTTTTAGCTTTCAGGGGCATTTTATCTCGCAGACTCAGTTCCAGACAAAATGAGCATTAGGATTTGTTGTGAAGGTGTATTTTTTTTTTTTTGGTTATTGAGGTTTAAATCTAGGTGTTGGAAGTTTTATGATGGCGTTAATTTCTTCTTATGGCTTCCATTTATTGGTAAGGTTATTTGTCGCGGTGGTGTTACTGGTTATCTGAATTTGGGAAACCTGGAGAGGAGGGTTTGGGGTGCCTTAAGCCAATGCAGTGCTCCAATGATTTCTGCCGTTAAAATTTGTGCAACTTTCAAAATTTGGTGGTGTTTTTGTTGTAATTGATTATTTGATGATCCTGAGAAGTATAGACGGTTATTGTGGGCTAAATTGAAGTTTTAGTCGTAACCTGTATTACAACGTCTCATGATTATTTTGGCTGTATCTCTGTTTGAGCTGTTGTTTTTGTTTTGGTTGGGCGGTTTTGAGCTTTTTGTTCGAGTTTTGTGTTATTGTCTTCTCCCTACTTTCGTTGTTATGTTCCAGGTTGGGGATAAGCTTTATTGTGAATCTATGTGTATTTTGTCCTACTTGTTAATAAGGTAATTTCTCTTTTATGGTCGTGGCCTGCTTTACAGTAATCCAGGTCGTGGCCTGCTTTACAGTAATCATAGGCATTTGAACATTGAATGTTTTTTCAAATGCGGATTGGGCAGGTTCGAAGGTTGATAGAAGAATCACTTCCAGGATATTTGTGTTTTTTGTAGGTTGGAACTTGGAATATCAATGGAGGAGCAAGAAACAAAATGTAGTCCCTCACGTCGAGTGCTGAATCAAGAATATCCGAGCTAATGGCCACAATCTGCTTGTGAATTAAATTTGGATTCGTCAGTTGTTAAAAAAAAAAAAAAAAAAAAAAAAAGAGGAAGATTGGCTTCAAGTCATCCTTGCCTGCCAAAGTTATGGTGTGATAAATCAAGCTGGCTCTTCACATTTGCATCAAATCCAGTTATTCCATGAAACGAACAAAACATATCGAGAATTGATTGTCCATTTCATTCCGTGAAAAGGATACAACAGGGTGTTATCTCTACAGGAACACGTTAAAACAAGTGAACAGTTAGGGATATCTTTACAAAAAGCTCTAAAACGGACCCCGGGTTTGACTATCTTTGTAACAAGTTAGGCATGATTAATATCTTAATGCTGCCACTTGAGGGGAGTGGTTAAGGATTAGTTGTAATAGAACTCTATTAGGAGTTTAGATTTCGAGTTAGATTCCTATTAGGTTTATAGTATCTTGTATGTGTATATATATGTGTCCCTATTGATGAATCAAATATAGAAAAATATTTTTCCCATTAAATTTACAATGCTCATTGCTAGTGTTTAGATTCACAAATTGTTTAGGAACAGATACGGACATAGGAGTTAAAGGAGCTTTCTCTTCTATCATAATCTCCCCTTGAAGAGGAGTTGGGGAGAAATAAGGCTCAAGACTCTCTAAAGGTCTCATCATACTCGCAACGTATTTTTGGGTTGGAGGATGATACCACTTATAACCCTTTTGAGTGGTAGAGTAACTAACAAATACATATTTCAAAGCTCTAGGTTCTAAGTTGCCTCAATGCCTGTGATGAACAAAACAAACACAATCAAATACTTTTGGGGGAACGTTATATGAGGTATTACCCTGTAAGGCTACTATGAGGCTTCTAAAATTGAGTGTCTTAAGAGGCATCCTATTAATAAGAAGTAGCAATTTCAAAGCTCTAGGTTCTAAGTTGCCTCAATGCCTGTGATGAACAAAACAAACACAATCAAATACTTTTGGGGGAACGTTATATGAGGTATTACCCTGTAAGGCTACTATGAGGCTTCTAAAATTGAGTGTCTTAAGAGGCATCCTATTAATAAGAAGTAGCAGAAAGCACTACATTTCCCCAATAAGTCTTGGGAGCATTCATGGTGAATAAAAGAGATCTAGCTACCCCTAGTAAATGCCTATTTTTTCTTTCAGAGACCTCATTTTGGACACTAGTATTCACACAACTAGTTTGATGTATAATTCAATTTGAGTCTAAATATGCCCGAAACATGCTATCCGTATACTCTTAAAATTTTTACCTTCGCATTAAATTGTGTACTAATCATGTTATGGAAAGATTTAAAGCGAGAAAACACTTCACTTTTTGCTTTCAGTAAGTAAATCGAAGTTAATTTAGTACAACAATCATAGAGGTGACATGCCATTTGTAGCCAGATAAGGAAACAGTAGAAGTAGGACCTCATACATCCGAATGAATAGTCATGAAAAGGAACTAAAATTTTATAATTATGGGAAATATTAGAACTCCTTGTATGCTTATCTCGTTCACAATTTAAAAACTTTAACCGACAGTGCTCAAAAAGACTAAGATATAATTTTCTCAGAACAAAAAAAGAAGGATGTCCTAATCGCCAATGCCATATAATTATTTCTTGACTAGCATTACCGTGATTTCCTAACAGGGGGTGAGGAATACTATGAGCCAGCGGACTGCTACCTTTTTCGAGAAGATACAGGCCATCGCAATCTACCAAAGCCAATTGTTTTCCCTGTTCTCAGATCTTGCAAAACACAATGAGTAGGAAAATTCAACTTTGCAGTTGAGAGCTCTCGTAATTGCACTAACAGATAAAAGGTTTACAGGAAAACTAAGAATATGAAGGACAGAAGTTAAATCAATGGTGGATGTGTCCTCAATAGAACTTGTGCCAGAAATAGGTGAGAAATTACCATCAGCAATGCGAACAATTTCTTTGCCAGAACAAGATGAATAGGTTAAACATTTATTAGAAGAGCCTGTCATATGTTTGTTTGCTCCTGAATCTATAATCCATGAGTCATTAACAGAATTAGTATGAAGGGCCATACCAAATTGCACAAAATTAGAAGTATCTACGGTGGATGAAGAGTTAAGTTTTGACCAAAAACGCCCTAATAATTGTATGTCTTCAATAGAGAAATTTCCAGCAGAAGATGCTACTGCAGCTCAGTGTGCAATAGGTCTAGTTGAACCAATTCTTTTGCCACAGAACCCATACTTTACTCCTACGGTCCCTTGTCGGTTGTCCATACAATTTTCAACATGTTTCTGTGGTCTTAATACAATCACTCATGATTAAATAACCATAATAAACTAACCAAAAATTAGGAGCAGACACACAATCTAACCAGCAAAGAAGTAGGTACAGTAGCCGAAAAAAAACAGCAGGAATAAGAAATACACAGCGGAACACTTGAAAAAAACCAAACTCAGCAGCATATAAAGGATGGTAGGCAAAAAATCAAAGTGCAAAACGAGTGGAGACGAAAGCTTGGACAAAGGCGCAACCTTCAAGGAAGAATTTTTGGAACCGAGATGGCCAGAAAACAGCCCATGCCACGGCGCGTGAGAAGGACGCAGAAACTTTGTGAAGCGCATGACGTGGTCGGCTGATGGCGGGATTTCGGGGAATGACCGATCGACAGGTGGCTTCCATCTAGGGTGGATGGTGACGTCCACCCTTCTTCTATGACAGTCTAGAAGCTTGTCCCAAAACTGGTCCCAGAAACAGCAGTAACATAAAGTGAACAGATTTTTTTTTTAGGTATTTACCGAAACAGGTTGCCTTGGCTCTGATACCATGTCGAATTATCATATATTAGGTTTTTGGGAGAAACTTATTCTCTATTTCTTGTGTATTTGTGATTTACATCAAGGTGTATATGTACACATAACCTAAAACTATATAGGAAATTTACAATAAAGGAAAGAAATCAAGGATCCCTAAGAATCATATAAGTCAACCTTTGATGTTGTGTCGCAATATTATTGTCTAGTACTTTATTAATAGCATAAATTTTGGATGCATCTCTGTGCAGTTTTTCTTGGATTAGATACATGCAAGTTACGATCCATGTTTGTTAGAGGCCGTTGTGAATTTATTCTCTATTGTAGTCATTAAAATAACTGTATGACATCTTTCACCAAAAGATTAACATAGAGACTAAATTTTCATTTCATTTGTTATATTAATAATTCATCTCTTAATTATTTAAATACTTATTAGGTTGATTCCAATGGTGGAGTTTCTTTTAAGCATCGATTATCTGGTCACCAAAAACCTGTGTCCTCTGTTTCCTGGAGTCCTGATGATCAGCAGCTTCTCACTTGTGGGATTGAGGAGACTGTCAGGCGTTGGGATGTTGCTTCTGGTGAATGCCTCCATGTCTATGAGAAAGTTGGTCTTGGCCTCATTTCCTGTGGATGGTTTCCAGATGGGAGACGGGTATGCACTGGCATTAACGATAAAAGCATCTGCATGTGGGACTTGGATGGAAAAGAGCTAGAGTGTTGGAAAGGGCCACGAACTTTGAAGATCTCTGATTTGGAAATAACAAGCGATGGGAAACAGATCATAAGTATGTGCAAGGAAACTGCAATCCTACTACTTGATATAGAAGCAAAAAATGAGAGAGTGATTGAGGAGAATCAAACAATAACTTCATTCTCATTGTCAAGAGATGATAAGTTTTTGCTGGTTAATCTTCTGAATCAAGAAATCCATCTTTGGAATATAGATGGTGGCATCAAGCTTATAGCTAAGTATAAAGGTCACAAACGCACCCGGTTTGTTATTAGGTCTTGTTTTGGGGGACTTGAACAAACTTTTATTGCCAGTGGTAGTGAAGATTCACAGGTATGGATAATATCTCCTTTTAAGCTAAAATATCAGCATATGAGATTTCAATTTTGATAATGACCAAAAAGCTATGTATAGTGTATCTTCTCTCTCCATTTTTCTTTTTGGCTTATGATTCTTACATGGATAATCTTTTTTTAATCTGATCAGTCTCTCCTGGGCCTGGGGGAGTAAACATGGTAAAAATCATATGCTGTGTTTTCAATTTTGGCTTCTCCAAGAAATTCTATTGACCAGTGCTTTTCCATATCAGTGGATTAATTGGTTCACCATATGATTTGTTTTCATATAGATTATTGTCATATGGGGTAACCATAGTCATTAGAAGGGTTATTAACTTCTATGTTTCTCTTAGAAACACTACTAAATCTTCTTTTTCTTAATGATAAAATCATCAGCATCAAAATATCGCCACGTTTAGTCAAAAGCATGTTGTGGCAGCCACATTAAATTCTTAATATATTTTCTGTCAAGGTAGTTAAAAATGTAAGGCACACTCTCAAAGCATTGTACCAGCCCATTGCATTAAGAACAAATCAAAAACAAAAAGCACTTGCTTCATTGAAGGAAGAAAAAAAAATTTTTGAAGGCAATAAGAATTCACTATTGGAAAATAGAGTTTGATAAGAAGTAGAAGAAGAAGAAAGACTGAAAAAAGATGATTCTGCTAAAAAACTATTACCTGGCTACCATGGAATGTATCTCCAAGAGTCCAAGTTTAAAAGAAAAGTGAGAAACCTACTTTTTTGTTGTTAATTTATCTCGAATTCGAAGTTGTCACCAAAGAGTCATAAGAGAGTGAAAGGAATCTAAAAGTGCTATTTTTACGATTTTTAATACCCTAGAGTGAGGGGCTTTTCTTGCATCCACATCATATGAGGTGTACAGTTAAGTGGAAAAAGCATTTGCTTCATTGAATGCGCCTCGTCTTTTATATTTAAAAGCGCTATGCTACTTGTTGCAGCGCTTTAAGCGAGCTTGTTTTTCTCTTTTAACTACATTGTTTTCTATGCTTGGTAGACTAGTGAAGACTTTTTCCATTCTCCCCCATCCTCCATTCTCAGTTGTCCCTCTCTCTCTATTGTCATTGCAGACAAACACATGGTATAAAAAACATAAACCAGGTAGGAAAGAGAATAGGGAGAGAGGTTGAGTAACCTGTGGCGGGAGTTTATTTCTGCCTTAGTTACTAATTTGTAATCCAATCCCATTGAAATCAGTCAACTTAAATTTGACTGCAAGATTACTACACATTCATTTATGGAACAATAAACACATTGAGATCAAATTTCAACCACGTTTAGTCCTAAAGTTTGAAATGGAAACCATGTTTACATTCTAATTATATAATTTATTGTGTAATGGGCCCATAATTTTTGCTTGATTTTCTCTCTCCTATCTCTTGTACTTTCTCTTTCTTTATCCAAATGAACACCATATCAATTAAAAATATTATGTGTTTATCATGTCTCTGAATTTGAAAGAATACTGTTGACTACCAAGCTCTGCTTTGTAAGAGTAACTGTATAGATCTAAATTTTAAAGGTGGAGAATAAATTGGTTTGGTTATGTGGTTCTGTCTAGGGTTTGAGGGGACAGTTAATTTGTTATTGCAACTTCACACTGCCATCTCTCTACACCTCCAAAGTTAGCATGAATAAAAAGAAAAGAAAAAGAAAAAGAAAAATGCAGCCGATGATGGTTATCAAAGGCAACAGTGACACAATATCTAGGATACACTTTGTCCATACTAGGGACGTATTACCTATTTATGAGGTGTATTTTGGTGTTAAATGAAATATTTAATGAAATAAATGTTTTAGTTTATTGTTCTATTAGATTTTTTTTTTTTTATTTGATTGCATTTCTTTATATTCAGTTCCATCAAACTACCCCTTAATTCATTACTACTGTATCACATTTGTGGTAAATTCATAATCCATGTCGATGATGATGATAACTGAAAATTTTAGTTATGCTCAAATATGTTGTCAGGACATGCATTCATTTGCCGAATTTGTCTTATTTCTTGTTATGTTATCGTCAAATCTTGTTGTGTATTTGGTATTTCCTAACTTTTTGTTTTATATGGATTGTAGAACTTAGATCAAGAATCTAATTATTTGGTAATTTATGTGGGTTGTTATAATAGATATGTTACTGTATCATGGATCTTCGTCCACCTTTACACAGATGAAGTAGCTGAATTCTGAAGGATATTATAATAGATATATGTTAGTAAGGATGTTGAATTAGATGAATCCTATTGGTGGGTTAAGAGTAGAAAAATGGGCACACAAGATTGTTGGGGAAACTTAAAATGCGTTAGGCCGAAGAACCAACAACTGAATGGGCCAAATAGGCCTGGACCTGGATCTTGTTGTAGAATCTTGTCTTGTGGTGTGATGTGCGAGAGGCCAAACGCTTGTCAGGGGCGTAGGTGGAAAAGAGGGCAGCCCTTGGTTGTGGTCTTAGAGAACCATATACCTGTCTATCTTGAGCAAAGACAAGCGGAAGCCCAAGCCTCGTTGCACTTGGGGGGGTTGTTGAATGAGGTGAATTCCATATTGACGGTTTAAGATAGCATTGAATAAGGTGAATTCCACATTGCCAGTTTGAGAATACAAGGTTGTTGGCCAAAGTAGTTAAATTAGCTTAGCGATTTTAAGACATGGCCCAATAAATATTAAGGTAAAAAATTTGTCTGGTGGACACTCCCTGAGACCAAAGTGCTATAAAGGAGGAAAATTGGAACATCAGAAAATGGCTTTAGATGTCATGGAATCTACTAGAAAGGCTTGTGTCATTCATATCGTCACTATTGAAATATTTGAATTAATAAATTTATATGGGGTCTTGGATAAAGTCTAGTTTTGTCATCTGGTAATCTGAATGTTGGCTTCTAGGTAGATATGTTCTTTGACTTGGGATCACTTTGTTTTCTGGTGATTTTCTTTTGTCCATGAATATCATTGTTGTTTTGCTTCTGTAGGTATATATATGGCACAAATGCTCAAGAGAGCTCATAGAGGCATTGCCTGGCCATTCTGGGGCTGTTAATTGTGTGAGCTGGAATCCAAAAAATCCACACATGTTGGCATCAGCTAGTGATGATCGTACAATTCGAATATGGGGCTTAAATGCTCTGTGCATGAAACAAAAGGGCACTCACAGCAATGGCATCCATTACTGCAATGGAGGAACTTGAGAAAACTTGAAGCATCAAATCAAAAAGATAAATTCTTCTTTTCCTTGACCATTGCTTTCATGTATATACACCTGTTTTCATTGCCCTACACAATAACAATGTGAATTATACAGCTACTTTCTGATAATAAATTATCATTTTAACATTACATTGATTCTTTTTACTTTATTTTTGTTCTGTGAGAAATTTTATTAATTCTTTCATAGTCATTGCTGAAGGGTTTTGGTGCAAAAATGATACACAATTTGCTGATGCCGATTTATCTAAATAATAGCATCACTGCTCATTTTGTAGCTTGTTACATATCTGCCGAACTGTGTTCTCTAGATGAAACAGGAATATGAGTTGGAGTTGAAGTTGAAGTTTTGGATCAATAATTTTCAGCCAAACATATAAATTTCCCAATGTACTTTTCATAAATATTGATTTTGATGTGTAGTTAGTACAATTTTTGAAATAGTAATTTTCATATTTTTGAACTAGTCAGTAGGTTTTTAATGGTTCTAATACTTTAAATTGGAGCATTCAATGAATTTGTTAGTTGAAGTGATTAAATAGGTATAATTTTATAAAGTGATGTTTAATGAATTGAAGTAAAAGTTAAAATATCTGAGGTTTTCTTGGAAATAGTATAGTGGTGTATTTATGCATTTAGATTATAATTTAATGAAGTCAGTTGGTCTTTTGAATTTTAACTTAAGATTGATTTTTGGCCAATACTTTGAAGTTAATTTCTTAAATGCATTGGTCGACTGTGATGGTTATGCCTTTTTTTTTTTTTTGAAAATGTGTAACTTCATCAAACCAAATCAAAATCTATTCCCTAAGATCAGACAAAATAAGTAAAAGTTGCAAGTGCAACGATATCCACCGATCTCTTTACAAAAACAACTGAACTAGCTAAAAGTTCATTAAGGAGAGACCTACAGTCAAGACTGCGAAAATATAAAGCATCAGGTTGCTTCCATTTCAGTGCCTGAACAAGCACAAGAGAGTCTAATTCAAAGACCACATGGTGGAGGGCATTACTCTTAGACCAACTAAGAGCTTCATGAAAAGACAGTGCTTCGGCCACATTAGAATCTTGAGCTCCTGGAAAGGTTGTTTGGAAAGCATTAATAAAAAATCCCTCTTCAGCCCGCACCATCCAACCAGCCCTAACGATATCAGTAATATTGTTCATGGCTGCATCCACATTACACTTAATGAAACCATGAGGTAGCTTAGTCCAAACACAAGAACCGGACCGTTGGAACTGAGAGAAATTGAGTAGCCTGCCAAGAGGATAAGAATATAGAAATTAATTGAACAACTTGAGAAGCCGCCCTGTTTACTCTCTGCTAAACAACCTAATGTCTATATTCTTGTCTTTTCATAGCAACTTCAAACTATCTCCTAAGGACATCCATTTGCTCATTTCCAGTTTCTTAAGACATGGTTTTCTTCAAAATAAGGGCAGGACAAAAGGTTAGACCCACGGGACCAAGGTATGGTTCCTAGAAAGCTAGGGTTATGAGGATGAGGGTATGCCTACGGATCTAAGGCTCTAATGTTCAAAGATATGACAAATCTACATGGAAAGAGTATCTAGGCTCTTAATTCATAGGTGTATGCATGGCATATGATATGCATGAAGAAAACCATTTTACATGACATTAACATGTCTTGATTAAAGTACATACAACTTAAGGCTATAGTACTAATGTCATTATATGAAATATGTATAGAATGACTTGGTTTAATAGGGTCCCATCATACTAGAGCAATGATATACCTAGTCATATGTTAAACCATGAGTTTCGGGTGAGTCCAACAATAATGCATACTTGTTACATATCAAAAAGGATCCAAGAATTCGTCCGGGCTGAACACTTTCACAACCACTCAAGAGCCTCAAAGAGAATTGTTGATGTGGCACAATCCCAAACCCATAAATTTCATCTTAATTATTCTAAGGGATGATGTAAAATGTAATAATGCATGAAAAGATTGAACGTGAAAAGAAGGTCAATTAAGTAATCATTGAAAAAATAATTTCAGTTTTATTTTCTAAATCAATTAATAGTCCACTTTATAAAAATTATTTTACTCCCTAGTGGAGTTACCAACTATGAGCTCCCAACCCAAGCACTAGTCCAAGTAGCTAAAAAGGATCGAAACACTCATTTGGGTTAGGTTAATAAAAATATTTTTATGAGTCATTATTTAAATTTTATTATGAGATAAATTTAAGAAAAATCTGATTTGAATCCATTTAAGAAAAGCGCAATAATTGATGAAATAATCCAAAAATTCAATTTCAGAAAATTTTCATTTAAAAATTTAATTGAAATTTTAACCAAAGAAATTACACAATAAAATATCT